TGGATCAGTTTTGGGGAAAACGTCGAGGAGGCGACGTTGGGCTTCTGACAAATAAATTACATTAAATATAAACATGAATTTATTCCTAACGAATGCTGAAGAACAAAAACCACAAGAAATGGTTTTCCAAAGAGTAGCACGCACCATGTTCAAGAACAACAAATACAAAATTTCCTAGAACATTGTTTTTAAACAAATATTTTATTTGGTAAAGGAAATAGTCTCCACAAATTTTCCAGAGTTAACTTTCGGGAAAACACTTTTCCCATCCTCAGTGGATCTCTAGCAAGGAGGAGAAATGAAAACATTAACACAAGTTGAACACAAAAAAGGGGGTGTACAGTGAATTTAATGGAAAAACAAACAAATAATATATAAATACAAATAGAAAATACTTACTGCCCAAGCAACGTGGATCTCAGTATTTACTAGGCTGTCCGGGTGACGCCGCGTCCATGGCGAAGGTGTCGACGTTTCGGTCGCAATTCTGCGACCATCCTGCGTAATGCGAATTATGAGGCAGGTCGCAGAATGGCGACCGAAACGTCGGCACCTTCGCCATGGACGCGACGTCACCCAGACAGCCTAGTAAATACTGACTCCGGCCGCGGAAGCCTACGCCCTAACGTGGATCTCCAATGAATGTTCACAACATGGTCAAAAAATTGAAAACAGCAAAACATGCTGGTTACAGCTAGGTGGCGACCATCTTTTGGAATGGAAGAAGAGGAAGCCTACCAATTGAGGGAAAAGGGGGAGGGATAGAAGAGAAGAAAGGGTAGCCATAAAAAAGATTTAAAATATTTTTTTACTGCTTTCATACAGGAATGTAAAATAGAACAGAAAATTAGGAATGTGCAAGATTCTAGAATTTTAATTAAATAAAGAAAATTGTTTTTAACAAGTTGACTAGATAAAGAAATTGCAAAAACGGGGGGAAGGGGTCAAAAGAATGATTAGGGGCTAGTTAATAAAATATTTAGAATGTGACTGCTTTTAATCAAGGAATGTTCATTCAAGACTGAAAAATTAGTATTTTTGAAAGTTTTAGAATTTCCAAGTTCTCCAAAATGTTCATTTTTGTTCCTTTGTTAACTATGTGAAGAATTTTAAAATTATAATTGGGGTCAAAGGAATGGTTAAATTGAATCAAATAATTAGCAAAGGTGGAAGTGTCTAAATTTTGTTTCCAACATCTAATATGCTCGTTAATCCTAACTGAACATTTTCTGCCTGTTTTGCCTACATATGCTGAATTACAGTTATTACAAGTTCGGTGATAAATTTCACTTCTTTCAATGGGGGGGGGGGATAGGTGATTTGAAACTAGGGAATGAAGATTGAAGGGAGTTTAGGGTTTTGTAGGCTACTGAGATATTGTATTTAGTGAAACATTGTCTTATACTTTTAGATACAGGACCTATATAGGGGATGCAAAAACATTTCTTTGGTTCTATAGGGGGAAAACCTTATTTAAAATAATTTTTACACCTTTTTGGTGGATGAGTTTGTTGACTGTCAGGGGGTCTATCGAAACCATAGGCACCTTTCACATTTCCTTTCAATTTCTGCGCACATTGGAAATTTGTCGTATAGATTTATTCGTTTATTGCATTGAATTTAATTGACGGAATTCAGCTGCTTCTTTAGAGATTCGTACTTAGCAGTTATTCTCGCATAGCTTTTTGTAATTCCTCTCGTTTTAATTGAATCGTTATCCTTTATAATAACTGAGAGAGTTCGAAAACCATTTAAAATTAGCGCTTGCGATTCAACCCCTCTTTTCTTCCCATCGAATGTTTTGAAATGTGTGATCTGACTCTATATATCCAGTTTCTACTTGTGAGGACTGTTGTCCTCACGTGCAGGAATGGTGGTTTCTGTAAATAATCAAATGTGCTGTAAGGTAGCATTTCCTCTTTTACCCTTATAGACGATATCTAGGCGGCACTCATACCTTGAAATTCAGGTTGTCCAGTAACAAATATCGTCTGAGATGGTTCAAGGCCAGCAGCGTTCATAGAAAACCAGGGACCTTGAGCAGTTGATCCAAGGGGACCCTTATTTCATAAATATATTTTCATCTCTTTTGAATGAAGATAAAAATGTCAGGCCCCGAATTATGTCGGGGAAAGTAGCCCCAGCTACCCCCCCTAATTCTTGACTCCCCTGCTTAGGTCATCAGCTGATGTCGCTGCATTGCCTCTTATCGGGAAGATCTATGGTTTGAGTCTTGACAACGGTAGAATTTTCGACATTAGCTGCATAGCTATGTCGAAATCTAGAGGGCAATCGTAGCAGTCGGTTGCTCTGATTGGTAGTTTTCTTTGCTTTCCCCGATCATCACCAGGTGAATGTCGGAGCAGTACCCTGGTACAAACGAACCAAGGACAGCGTGCGATCTTTCCTTCCGCTTCTTTGTCCTGTCATGTATCCTTACTTACAAACACACTGGCGTGCACTACACTACCACATATGTCGGGAGAGCAGTCAGGAGCATGAGCATGTCCCGGCTGAGGCGCGCCCCGTTGGTGAAAATACCTGGTTGGGAAAACTCCCGCTAGGCGGAGTGTAAGTCTATGTCACCTCCTGCCATAAGACATGCACTACGGTTATGGGACTAATGACCATGCTCCCGGAAACAAACTCCAGTAAATAATCGCAGGGGTGCGGCGGGCGCTTCGTGCGAAGGGCCCTGGCTTCGCTTGAACACAACTTGACCGGAGATGATTATGCTCTCCGCCTACTCCTTCAAAATGTCCTTCCTATGCTCTGACTGTAAAATCTGCTTCTCTGTGTTGTCTCTTTTTCTCGGTTTTATGTTTCTGATATTCTTTCATTATGTGTGGATTGCATATTCGGCCCTTCAACAAAATAAACAAAAAACACCACTTAGGGAGATCTCACTGATCACGACTATATATAAATAAAGGTATATGTATTTGGCATTTTAGTGTCAAATTAATCCGACGACCCTGCCAGGAGGCGATGTTCCGGCGACCCTCCCAGGCCTAGGCGTTATTTCTATTTCTTATCCTCGGTTGGGGTGAAGGAAGAAAGGTTAGCCTGTTTGCGCCTTTTCTTTCGTCACGCACTTATAGAAACTGAGACGACTCTAATGAAAAGCTACAGCTTCATTTTTGCTTAGGTCGGGAATCGAATCCGGAACCACTAGCACGCTGTCTATTAGGCACCCAAGGAGCTTTACATAAAGATTGTAAATATAAAAGAGATCACAACTAAATATAAATATTGTAAAGGAGTGATACAATATTCTAACTTATAATATAAAATATTATAATCATAAATTTTCTATCATGCAAAGGTACTTCGATTTTTGACAAAACAGTAATATAAATTCTTGTTTTGAAAGGAATCGTTGCCTGCTGCAAACTGTATTTCCTATTCAAACTCTCTTTCGATTCCCTGTAAGCGGTGGGGAAGAGGAATGTTTGAAAATGTGCATTGAAGTATAAATGGACACGTTTGGAGTCGAAATGCATCAAAACTCAACAGACAGGAAGGACATGCGCCGCCGAGGAATGTGCGGGCTACACCCTGGAGACAACAGTCCGAACTCTGTCTATACTTATCTTAAGTAGACGCACTGTAATTTCTCTCACAGACCATGGGGGTTATCGTTCCATTCGTAACGTTGATAATACGTCTTTGTGACGTATTGTCATGTATCGCGTTTAAACAGTAGACGTCCATACGAAAGGATTTCGAGCAAACCTAAATTGTTGCATGTTCTTCGTGAACCTTCTAAAAATTCTGTTGAAGGGGCGTGAACATATAGTGGTATTGGCGGCAACCGCGAACTGTGGGGACATCGTGTCCGAATTCTGTCTTGGGCATGGATGTTTGCTTTTGTGTTGTGGCCTGGAGGCGCCAATCCAAACCATCAAGTAGCACCTTTAACACCCAATTCCTTCCCAACCCTCTACCTCCCCGAATGATGTGTGAATATGGAATGAATGTGACTGCATTCTAAGATAGCAAGACCTGTAATGGGTCTACATGAGTGTCAACTAACCGCCATCATACTTCCTTACAGTCCTTACTGCTCCTTTGGGCACCCTCTCCAGAAAAATCCACCTCGAGAATTTGTAATAAATACATTCGTACGACTTGTGCTTACCACCAGCCCCATTTTTTAAATTTAAGTACCCGATTAAGTGAAAGATTTATGTTTTTGGAATGGATCTTATCGTTATCTTGAGTCCGTCCGTAGCTGGTGGGGAGTGCTGGGTGTGGGTGGGGGCGGAATTCTGCTAATAGGGATTTGTTGGGCAGAGTCCGCATTTAACTAACCTAAGAATACCGATCCTTTCATCTTATTTCATAAATTAGTATTGTTTTGTTTGCTGGAAATGTTTTTTAACTCTTACTTTTTCGTGAGCACAATTGTATCTTCCGTTAGCAACGTAAAAATTGTCTGAGACCAAGATTAAAATACCCATGTGTGCAAATTGATTGTACAATACATGCTGTAGTTTTCTTGGTTCAAGAAATCTTTTGAAGAGGAAAAATGTGTGTGATAGTTCATACGTGTACATGCCGCACCTCCTACTTCGTAACCCACCGCCCGCTAGTGCCTCCCTACCATCGTACCTCCCTCTAAGAAGGTTCATGAAACTCCGCCGGCTTACGATTCACTAGCGGCAGGAGGCAATTCTCCACCGGGATGGACTTCCGGGCCACGGCGGAGTGATAAAGTGGCGGGCTGGGGTCAAAGTACCATTGGGTGTAAAAAGGCGGTGGAGGTGTGAGGGCAGAGCGCGTCAGCTGAAAACCAAACGGATAACCTCAAATATTCAGTGATGATCACGATGATGGTGATGGTTTGAAATTGAAAATTTAGTGCAATATCGTAGTATAGTTACTTTCCCTTTGCAACCCCCAAACCATCCCTCTCCAACAACGCCCCGTGTGACATAACGAAGCAAGTGGCTTGTCACATGTAGTAATTCGTTTGCTAAACAAGTACTCATGGTAAGAGTGGTGGTGTTGCTGGGCAGGTGGCGCGGCTGCAGGACCGGGTGGAGGAGCTGGAGGAGACAGTGCGGAGGCTGACGGGCGGAGGAGGCGGAGCGGAAAAGGACGAGGCCAGCCTGGAGCGCGCCGCCGCCATCACCAACGGACTGGCGGTACTAGTTATTTGCATTGTTACGCAACGAACACAACATGACTACCACAAGAAATTAAAAACTAGCTACAGCTTTTCAATTTATCATAAAACATGTTCCCATTATATCTTTGACAATTGTACAATTGTATAGTAAGAAAGACAGTGTTGCAATTTTCACACGTGCTTCATTTCTTGACCTCAGAAATTAATTGCAAGGGTTTGCGGTTAGACAAAAAGGGGGGGAAAGTGATATTAACTGCAGTCACCTGAGCAAAGTTTCGAGAAGTAGTTTCGTCCTCATCATGTTCATTTAAAATACTTAAATATGTTACACATAATTGATTACAAATATGTAATGAGCAAAATAAAAGTTAACTTTTAGATTATTGCACTTAATATTTTAGTTTACCTCTGATTTTGATTTATTTTCTTAATCGTTTACAATTTTGAAATTTTGCACTGTTGTTTCTTCTGCTTGAAATATCTTGTTGGAAAAGCCCTTTTTTTTCCTTTGGCTTGTAGTTATATTTCGACTTTCATTTATACCTGTACTTACTTAATCGTCTTCGTAGAGCGTTTTTAAAATCTATTTTGATGTTATGTGAATAACATGTGACCATATTCTCCATATTCTTACCGACTTGACTTTGAAGTTGGAATGCAGGCTTTATATGGTTAAAATCGTCCAAAACGTGCCAGTAACTGAAACGAATGTTTAATCTGATTAATATAATGCCATTTATAGTAAACGTATTGAGAGTGAATCGACAGTGTTGGGGGAGTGGGGTGCCAAAACGCTCGTTGGTGTTGCGAACGGTGCGCTGCGCTCCGCAGGCGCGGGGCGAGGAGGCGGGCGCCGGGGCGGACGGCGGGGAGGCCATGCAGGACTTCGAGCGCGCGCGCCTCCTGGCGTACGGCGGCGGCCTGCTCCTCGCGGGCGACGCGCCCAAGGCGCTCGACGCCGGCCTCCACGCGGACCTCGAAGCGCGCATGCAGGTGGGCTCGCCCTCGCACACGCACACAAACGGTTTCCCTCCGCCGGGCAGGTCCTCGCTGCCCTGCCCTGCCCTGCCCTGTCCTTGTATTGTCTCTCCTCCTTCCTCCAGGAACTGCAGTCAACTTGCACTTAGCCTTTCCATTTACATCGCTTACTGCCCACAAAGCTACGTTGTTGCGCAGGTTTCTTCGCAAGAAGTGGCCTTGCCGACTTTTCGTATTTGTATGATCTGCAGAATCGTCTAATTTTCTTTTCCAGTCCTTCCTGTTTTCCAACCCTTCCTCATGTCAATGTTACAACATCGATTTTTCTAAATGCCAATTATCCATTTGCATTGATTGAATAGCCAATACCAGTGTACCGAACAATTTTTTCTCCAAAAGTAACCCAATAACCTAAACAACCCATAACAACCTAGCCACTACCTACCAGCCCCAGACTAGAATAAAAATTTGATATCCATTAAATTCATTCGTTAGCATATTTTCAGACATGAATTAATCCCATAAGTGCTCTGTGAGTTTCTATTCATGAGTAGTTAGCTGTAATTGTAATTAGAATTTAAGTTTAATTGTAAGTATGGCAACATATGATGTATATACATAATACAGAATTATGTACATTCATTCAAGAAGAAATAGGACATTCTTTGTCAAAGCGTTAAACAAAATATCGAAGGTTCGGAAATCATAAAAATAATTTTCTTTTCGGATTCAGCATTATATAAAGCGTAGCAAAAAATTTTTTTTACTTTTTTAGAACGTCATTTTTATATAAAAATAATTAAATTTTTTAACGATTTCAATAAATTTTGCTGTATTGTTGCATTAAAAAATTTCAAACTAAGACGATATACGTAAAGTTTTGTCTAATAGTTTTTTAATACTGTCCACTGATGTCAAGCACACACGTTTTCAATAGAAGGCATAAATGGGTAAAGTTCTTTAAAAATCGACTGTGAAAATACGTCTTGTCTTTTTTTTCGATTTTTAGAAACCAAAATACTTCTAGATACTTGTACTTTATGCCTGAAAACATCATCCTTGTTTATTGAAAGGATTCGGAAAGTTGTTTCTTATCTGACAAAATTATTTTTCATTGGGAAAACAATAGGTCCATTACAACTTTGTGCTAATTTTTGCACATTCAGCTTCTACCTGAATTTCCAATGAAGGGTAAATCTGTATCTTCAATTTTGTGGTAGTAGGAATAAGCCGGAAAACCTACCGATCAGAGCAGTCCGCCGCTGAATTTGACCTGTCTAACATCCTTTCACCGTCCCGTCGCGTCGGGAGTAGACCCCTAGCACCTCCCGTGAAGAGGCTCTTCAGTGACATCGGTTGATGCACTGAGCCACCTCTCTCAGTGTGGGGGCCGGGGAAAACTTAGCCTCGTCTAATGGTGCCGGTGTGTGTGTGTGTGTGTGCGCGCGGGGCAGGCTCTGGAGGCGTCGCTGGCCAAGGCGCTGGGCGTGCTCTTTCCGCGCGTCGACGCGCTGCTCTACAAGCTGGAGCGGCGCCGGGGGCTGCAGCAGGGGCTGGGGCCTCAGGAGGAGGAGGAGGAGGAGGAGAAAGACGCTGCCGCCGCCCCCGCCCCGTCGCCGTCCCCGCCTCCGGCGTCGTCCTCGCCGTCGCCGCCTCCGCCCGCTCCCCCGCGGCCCCGCCATCGCGCACAGCCCACGGCGCAGGTGAGACACGAAACCTCTGCCCACGGCAGAGGTCCTCAAGCTGTGGGGCGCAAGGGCTGTAGAAGGGGGAGCGAGAAATTTTGAAAAATTAATATTGTATTTATTGGTAAAGCAGTAAGAAAACTTTAAAATTAAGATACAGTATATAATTTTTTAACTTATTGAATTAAAGACATAGGTCTGTTAGGTGTTATGTTTCTTATATTTTTTTAAAATGTTTGCTGATAATCGTACATTTCTTTATCAATTGTTTTATTTCATTTTAAAGTTGATTTCTCACGGTCTTAAAAGAGTATAAGAAATTTAATAGCTTCGTTTGATTTAATTTTTGATTTATTCAGTACTTGCTTTTTATGCAAAAGATGCAAATATGTATATTATGACAAAAATTATGTAGTGTATGCAATACATTTTCAAAGGCGCGGTCGTATGGTACACCAAAGGGAGGGGGCAAAAAGTTTGAAGACGCCGTGTCTAAAGGGTGGCCACTTTCTGGATAACATAGGAATTCGGGAAAAATCATGGAATTTCTTTACTCCTTAGTCAGGGAACAATTAGGGAATTTTTGGAAAAGTTAGTTCGTTAGACGTGAAGGAAAAAATTAAGGTTATAAATCTTGATATTATTCCTTAAAAATCATTAGTACAGCATTAGTTTGTACTCGGTTTTCATTTGTTGAGAAAATATTGTTAATATGTACTTTGCCATGGGGAAATCAGAGGACTGATCAAGCAGGGTGTAATATTTTCTTTAAATAGTGTTTGGTTTAAACAAATCTTATTATGAAACAAAAATGCATTGAAAAAACGAAAATAGTCAGGGAAAATTGTTCCAGGAAAGGAGTGGCCATCCTGTCCTCTCCTGCTCAAGGATGTTAGAATAAATCGCTACCGTAGTGTCAGACTCGCGTAACTATACAGATGAAAAAGGGAGTTTTAACGCCATCCGATGTTACGCACTGACAGTAACGTGGTGAACCTTGAAATCGTAATGAAGTACCTTAGGCCTAAGGCACGGCTTCTAGCTTTTTAAATAGTGCGCACCTGTTGGAGTCGCTACGGTCACTTTGCATTGCCTCCTATACACAGGAAAGGTTACATTTTTCAAACTATGTCGAGAATTAACTGAAAAATTGGAAAGGAGACATGTAAGAAATTCTTGAAGAAGACGAAATCATATCTTCATGTTAGGTAATGTATTGTACTTGTAATGGACGTTGTTATTCCTACATTCCCAAGAAAAACTTAATCAAAATTCCAGACTGTATACTCATCGCGCAAGGCCAGAAAATGTAAAACTTTTTGCGTTATTAAAATAAATTTACTCTTGACGCGCAACGTAGTTCATGCGTATCACCCACCCTTTGACTAGACTCTTTGACTAGACTTTCTAAATGTAGACACTTTAATATATTGCGCAACTTCTTTGTTCAACACTTGAAATGCTTTATTTTGTTTGTTATAGTAGCGTGTTATTATTTGTAGTTTATTATTGAAAATTTATAATGCAATGTCGCAAATACTAAAGCTCATCTAAATGTTCCTTACGGCCCCGTGTAATGTAGATGCCTCAGTACGCCTGGCGCTAAAACTCGACAACGATTGGAGTCTGATAAATGTATCACCTTTTCCACTCCTTAGAAAAGGGAAAAGGCCCGCTAATACCTATGAGTGTAGGGCAGTGCCACGACAAAGCCTAGAACCCAACTAGGGGCCTCCGTGGCTGAGGCTCAGAGTTCCCAACCCGAATCCTCACTGCACCCTCTTTGACGCTAACAACGTGAGTGCCCTCGGAAATATGAGCAACGTGGTGGGTTAATTTCAATTCTCGCATCGGACTTGTTTACTTGTGGGTTTGAAGCCAAGAGGGGAGAACTTACGAGGCGCCATCGTGCCCCGATGTTGGTGGATAAAGGTCCAACTGTTGGGTAAGCCCGCGCACCCAGGAGCTTCGCTCCGCCGAGGGCTGAGGTGTGGGCGCTGCGGTGCGCAGGACCTGCTGGAGGCGGCGCGCGAGGGGTCCGCGCGGGAGGTGCGCCGCCTGCTGGAGGCCGCCGCCAACCCCAACGCCGCCGACGCCGACGGGCGCACGGCGCTGCACTGGGCCGCCATCTACGGCCGCGCCGACTCCCTGCAGGAGCTGCTGCGCTGCGGCGGCAACGCCAACTGCAGGTGGCACATCCGGCATTTTCTTCTTTCTTGCAATTCTCCTCGATCTGACCCAACTTCCAAATCACCTACTACTGGCAGGTCGTCTTTTTGGTGTCATATCAGCGATAGGATAGAATTTACTCCACCCACAAGTCATGTTAGGTACATTGTAATTATTTACAACTTATAGTAAATTGTAAGTATATTTCTTTAATAGTTAATTTTATTTCTCCTATACATACGGAGATACATACGTATATACGAAAAAACGTACGTAGTATACAGAAAGTTATGTAATGCTGCAGAAATTATAATTCTAGATTTCAACAGAAATACAGATTTTGCGTCCCCTAATACCGAGAAAGTGTTTTTCTAACAAAACACCCGACTGTCTCCGTCAGCCCGTCCATCAGTCTGTGAACAACACTAGCGCCTTAACTACTGTAGGATTTTTCTAAAATTAATATACACCGGTCGATTTAGCCCAACTCGAAACTGCGCTTTTGATAAACATTCTTTTAATTTTGAGGTTAGTTTGTATGAATCCCTTGGGATAATTTCAAAATTTTCTCAAAATTTACTTCAATTTGATTTTTTTAACGTCTAATAAGAGTGACACGTGCTTATAAAGATGGCGTAGTTGATGCCAATTTTCACAATCCGAAAATTACGAAAGTTTTATTTTCTGCGAGTCTTCCTAAAAGTACGAGATCGTAGGTTTTTCTTCAAGTGGAATTTATTCTTTATAAATAGTTTCTTGATTAATGTCATGAACATATTTTCAAACTTTTTAATATTTTTCCGTAATTTTGAATGAAATATGGGTAATATTAAAAACAATTTTTTCTCTGAAATTTTTCTCTGCCATTTGGCTGTATTCTTCTCTTTTTAATACACAAATGCATTAAATTATTTATCTCTCGCGACGTTAATATTCACATTAATGACGATTTATATACATTATTGCAAATTTTTTAGTGCATAGCTTTAAATGTCTTATAAAGTTTCTCGAAAATTAAAAATTTTTCTGTGTAAAATACTTTAAAATAGTGGATTTTCGGAAACGATCAAACGACATTTTCTCAAAAATGACACGAAAATTTGCACTTAGTGCACCGTACCCAGTTTTATTCTTTTATGATATTCTTAGTCATATTTCAGTTCTACCATGAAGAAAACTGAAAATCGAGAAAATTAAAAAAAAAAAATCCCCTTGACGGTCAGGCTGGGAAGTGGATAGGGAAAAACTGAAAAAGTAGAAGGAAAAAAAAAAGCTAGTACGAGAAAGTCTGTGCCATTGTGTTGCTCCGCTAGTTTCGTTCCAATTGCGTGCATTTTATTTTCTAGTGTTATTGTACTGCCACAGAGAGCCACCGCATCTTACTTCAATAGATTAAAAAAGCAAATATAAAAACTGTCTAATGCGGCGCCTTACCTAGTTTCTTACCCCAAATCTATCTTCGGCGAGTACTCGGAAACGAAACGTGAAACGTGCGACTACTGAAAGCGTCCGATAAACCACCAGCTCTCATCTTGCGTTTTCACGCTACTGGCGTTGAAAGAAAACGAATTCGTCTGTTGTCAAGTGGTCAAGTCAACACCATCTATTGCAATGCTTTGTTGCGTCGTTTTTGAGGGCTTAATACGTGTCTGAAACCTGTTACCGGAAAATCCATCACTATGAAGAACATATTGCGGTTTTCAATTAAGCACGTCTTAAGGATTTCGTTTTAGCGTAATATTACATGCTTACCGAGGCTGGGAGCCAAATGGGAGTTTAATTGTGGAATGTCGTGTAACTTCCCAAACAGGGAAACATTTACAAATTCAACATTCTGAATGTTTTTGACTGTAATATTTGTTGTCTGAGTTTGAATATACCTTATTGACGACATAGAGGCGTTTATCAATTCTTCCGGCGTAGAGAACAGCGAACACTTTGAACGAAATATATAATACACCTTTCTTTTGAGAGCGTAGGCTTCCGCGGTCGGAGTCAGTATTTACTAGGCTGTCCGGGTGACGTCGCGTCCATGGCGAAGGTGCCGACGTTTCGGTCGCCATTCTGCGACCTTCCTCGGCATTACGCCCTGAGGAAGGTCGCAGAATGTGTCGCTGTACCTTTCTTTTGTAAAAGAATTAACTTCGTTACAAAACTAAATCGGTAATTCATTACTAATCGGGCTTAACTTCCACGTAAATGTGAACTTGACGACACCTGATTCATAGAAAGCCAATCACAAGTCATTTGAAATAGTCGCGGATGCAGGTAGGACTTAAGGACCCTCTCCTTTGCAAAGCGAATATTGTTTTGTAATTTTACCCAACGTATTTGGACCAATTACCAGTTACGAATCGCCTCACATCCGCAGGAGTATTGCTAGTAGTATGGATATATCATATCTTATCTATATAATATATATATATATTATATATATATATATATATATATATATTGTTAACTTTCAAACCCAAAATTGTAAGTATTTCAAAAATGTTTGTGAGGGTATATTCAAACTGAAACTTTCCCGCTTTCTAAACTCTCCCCTTTTGTGAATCAGCTCCTGAGATGTATGCTCATTATTGGGCTTGTTAAAACGTTCAACATTTTGTTATCCTGTTCACGTAGTAAGTTTCGGTTAATGCTATCACTCTCGTAAAATAGCCGGTTCTTTGTGTTTATTGTCTCGGAACCCAGTTTTTAGATTCGGTTACAAAATTTTTTTTTTCGTGTGCCGGTGGTTTTAATTCAGTATATTAGTATGTGGATACAGCAAACGTCGTACACAATAGATAAAAGATATACATTAACGTTTGTCCTGAAAATACTTACATGTCTTTAATATGAACTATCAGTGTAATTTGGTTACCTTTAGTCTGCAGCGTGGACTTACAAAAACGTCCTGTAAAAAAGAGGCGGAAGTGCAGTTTCCAGCCGTGTTTCCCGTTCTGCACGGAAACAGCAAAGCTCCAGCCTTGAGACTCCACATGAGCTATTTGGTTCTCCCGTGCATGCGAAATTGCATTGTTTGCGTGGACGGCCAGCTGACGGAGGCTCTGACACGATTCCTGATTACTGCCAATCGTGGGAGGACTGGAGCGTTATGACGCATGGCACTGCATCAGTGCTGACCTACTTCTTGGACTTGTAGATCTTTCGGAAATGGCTGTGCCGCGTTTCCTGTGGATGTCACGCATCTCGCCACCACTATTGCTGATTCTTTCCTCTCTCCCTCTTTTTGCTTTCTCTTATTTGTCCTTACAACATGTAGTTTCTACACATTCTAACTCATTTCTGACATTATCTATCGTCCCCTTACATTCTTTGCATACCTTGTTTATGTATTTCTTTACCTATATACTGTTAATTTAATAATGATAATAATAATAATAATAATAATAATAATAATAATAATAATAATAATAATAATATACAGCGTGTGTATATATAGTGTATTAATATTAATAACTATTATTATTATTATATATTATTTGAAATTTGTAAATTGAAAGGTCCAAGCTCTCCGTACATAGTAAATATTGTTTTCTATGCTCAACATTATACGTTATATTATTATACACTACATTATACACCACCCTGTCAGAGTTGTAAGTTATTGTAGAACAACTGGGCTTAAACCAGAATTGCATACGTTTCTCTTTTGTTGTGCGCGCAGGAGCCACCGCAGCGTGCGTGGGTTCACGCCGCTGCACGAGGCGTCGCTGCGCGGCCACCCGGCGTGCGTGGCGCTGCTGGTGGACGGCGGCGGCGCGGACTGCGAGGCGCGCGACGACACGGGCTGGACGCCGCTGCACCTGGCGGCGACGCGCGGCCACGAGGCCACGGTGCAGGCGCTGCTGGCGCGCGGCGCCTCGCCCCTCGCCAGGAACATCTGGGGCAAGCGGCCCGCCGACGTGGCGCGCTCCGCGCCGCTGCGCCGCCTGCTGCTGCAGCACCACCACCACCAGCCGCCGCCGCGCCCGCAGCACACGCAGCCGCTCCAGCCCCTGCAGCCGCTCCAGCCGCTGGCGCTGCAGCTCGTCAGGCGGTGACAGGTGCTGTGGCGCTCTCTCTCTCTCGCGCTCGCTCGCTCGCTCTATCTCGCTCTCTCTCTCTCACTCTCTCTCACTCTCACTCTCACTCTCTCTCACTCTCACTCTCTCTCACTCTCACTCTCACTCTCACTCTCTCTCACTCTCACTCTCACTCTCACTCTCTCTCGCCACCTCTCGCCACGTCCTCCCACACGCCCTCTCTCTATCTGCCTCTCTCTTCCTCGCACTCGCTTCCTCCATCTCCCTCTTTTTCCCTTTACCTCTCGCTCCCTCCCTTCGACTGTCGATTTCTCCTTTCGCTTATCGCTCTTTCCCTTCAGCTCTCGCTCCTTCCCTCTCGCTTTCTCTCTTGTGGCCCCCCTCCCCTTCATGATCCATCCTTCCCTCCCTCCCAATTTCTTACCCTCCCGATTTCTAGCTCATCTCCCTCCCTCCTCACTCTTTACTCACCCTTTCCTCTCTTCTCTCTCCCTCTCTCTCCATCTCTCCCTCTCTCCCCCTCTTTCTCCCTCTCTCTCCCCCTCTCCCTCCCCCTCTCTCCCCCCTCTCTCCCCCTCTCTTTCTCTCCCTCTCTCTTCCTCTCTCTCCCTCTCTCTTCCTCTCTCACCCTCTCTCTCCCTCTCTCTCCCTCTCTCTCTCTCTCTCTCTCTCTCTACCTCAATCTGCCAGACTTTGTCTGGTTCTCTGTCTTCATGTGGAGTAATTATCATTAACCAAATTTAGTTGCAATTAAAAATTACAGCAACTATGATTACTGTAAGTATGAAACTATTTTAAATGGTTGTGTAATTTTGTATTACCTCCTAAATGTGTGTGTAAATTCCTCACATTTGTACTCTATTGCTTGTTTTCACTGCCAACGATGAGTTACTCATGAGTATTGCAAGTCTGCGTGCCTAACCCGCAAAGGTATTTGCCCAGTGAACACCAGCCCTTAGATTTCGGTGACCAAATACCATTCCTGCATGTAAAATCTCCCGTGATCATATGATTGTTCAGGGGCCCAGACACACCAAAAAAAAAATTAATATGATAAACTTTTTTATTTGAAAAGTTGTAATGGTTGTTATATGTAATCATAGAATTGATGAGTAATGCAAGTGTTTGTATAAGTCCACTTAAGAGAACAATTGCAAGACAAAATGTGGTGTCATTTGTGGAAATAATTGAAAATTTGCCCAATCCCTTAAAGTATCGTACTTCTAAAAATTATAATATCCGTTTGAAATTCATTCTTCAACTTTGTCCAGATTGTTGGGAAATACTATCGTTGGAGATGGCTCTGAGCATCAACAGATGTCACTGCAATGCCTCTGACTGGAAGGTATTAGTCCCAATGCCTGTAGGATATTCTACACTAGCTAGATAGCAAGTTCGAATTCATCTACTGTCTGGAGGAGAATTCTAGTGTCTGGTTGTTCTGCTTGGTAGAATTCCCTGGTTTCTCTGATCTACACCAGGTGAATGCGGGAATAGTATCTTAACAAATGGGCTACAGACCATGTGCGATCATTCCTTTGAATTCATTGTCCTACCACCACCTCTAACTTACACTCACTTACATGCATCACACTATCAACATGACTCGCAAACAATTTGGAGCTTAGAGTTTTTCGTGCCTGGGGCTGTGCCTCACTGGTGGGAGATATTTGGGATGGGGAACCCCCTAAACTCACATGTAGATCTCTCCATCCAGTGGGAGAAGAACACAGCCACTTTATTACAGTTTGTATATCTTGGTTTGTTTTGTAAGGATGAATTCATCATAAACAACTTGATTTTACAAGCATTCATTAAGTGTCACAAATTAATTGCCCTTCTGCATTACAAACAAACAAAAAAACGAACAAACAAACAAACACACTTAATTTAAATCACATTTAAATTTCAAACTAGAGGTCTATTACTAAGCTGTGTGTTTTTTCTGCAGATACATCCAAATTCCAACATAATGGTATCATCAGTTTGTCTACTCCAGAATCATCGCACACATGCACTAAGCAGATTAATGCATGTGCGAGTTTCTACAGTACGGATCATAAGGTGATATCTGACTTTAGCTTAATTGGTGTGAAAAGGAGAATCCATGCAGCAACTTGCTAAATTTTGCCTGTGTGTTGTTGAGTTACCTGGTACACGAGTATGGATCGTGCTTGGTGTTCTTTTAATTATACTGACATTTTCAGCCGTTTTGTACCTTTTATTAAAAATATTTCGAACAATGTTGGAGCCTGAGCTATAGATATTACGAAGTTGTCTAGATGGTAAGTTAACCAGGGTGCTCTTAACTATGCTCTTAGCTATTTAAGAGAGAAGGTTCTTTTTATTGTTGCCCAATATTTGGGGTAATCTGTCCTGATGAAATAATAAGAAGCTTTATTTGTAATGTTAAAATATATAGAGAATACGATTCAAATATTCAAATTGCTATAAATTCGTTTCTACTGATCTGCATTCTACGGGTTTTGTAAACTGTTTTTAATCTATTATGCATATCTTTAAAACATGATTTTAAACATCCATAATATTTATGGGTCTTAATGAAACAATACTAAAAGACTAAGCATGAGTAAAGATTAGAATAGAAATTTTAATCCTTCCAATGCATGATCTGAATGTGTTACAACAACATTTGTGTGTGAAAATATATTTTCCATGCATTATTTATGATGATGTAACTTGGGGTGGGACAAAAGAAATATTTATAAAATATAACGAAAATAATAAGTAAGGGGGTGAAAATAAAAATCAGAGAAGACTCATTCGCTCAAAATTAGTGTGTATGTGCACAACCTGACAGTGATATTTATTAGGGGAAAAAATCAAGTAAGGGATCCCGTAGTTCAGTTCTATACTACATATGAAATTTAATACTTGACAAAACATGTTCTGTAATTTTTTATTGAATGCACAACACAAAAAGCATGTCCTTCCAGGTATTGCCCTTGTCACTCACCTGATTTTTGTTCTCATCCCCTCAAATATGAATGGAAGAATTATTTACAAGCCATATGGCATTATTATTGTTTGTTGTTGTTATTATTATTATTGTTTTTTTCTTTTTGTTATTTAAGGTCGCATCAATACTAGGTCACTAGCGACCACTAGTGCATATAACGGTATGGTAACTATGAGGATGACTCGATATGATGATGATGATAGGGGTGTGAAAGGACGAACACAATACAACCATGCCCGAGGCGGGACTCAAACCCGTGATCCTTCGGTCCGAGATCGCTACGGCACTACTGCCTTAGCAATCTCAGTCATCCGGAGCGGCTATTGTTGTTGTTGTTGTTGTTATTATTATTATTGTTGTTATTATTGTTATCATCATCATCATCATTATAATTTTTATTTTGCAAGAATGTGTGCCCCTCCGCTCAAAAAAAAAATGTACAGTCCCAAACATTCATTTATCAGTCACTGGCATTTCAGTACTCCTCACATAGAAAGGAAGCTAATACCTGGGTTGTAATGATTCCTATATACCCTTTGCGAAACATAATCACTTGAGCAGAACTTTGAAGCTGCTGCATGAAGGTGCGGACGCCACATAATACACATCATTGCTCTTCCTACATAAAGAGCATGAACTTCCCAAGGGGTGCTTTTAATAGATATTTGAAAATATTTTTTAGAATGGAACGGGTATATCTTCTTCATTGTTTTTTCTAGCTTAGCATGGTGCCTCTGGCAGATATTTTCATTACTAAAAATTATTGTTTATGTTATGCAAGTTCATTACAAACATATATTTTACACATGTTGGTCTGACTTATTTCAACTTTTCCTTGGAATTATGTCCATTGGTCATTTTACGGGCACTATGCAGGGCTATTAGTAGTTGGGGCTACCAACCTCATTTCTGTGAGGAACTGAAATAAAGTGTGGAAAGACTCTATAACTCTATAAAACAATGAACATTCCTGTTCTCCCTTTCGGCATAAACAAGGGTAACAACATTCAAAGAAAACAAAGAATAATGGCTGAAGAAACACAAATCTTGAGGTATGTCAAAGGCCATACATGAATGAACCAATTGAGAAATGAAGATGTAAGAAAAAAACGAAATAGGCAGGATAGAAGATAAACTAAAAGAGTATTGAATCATCTGAAAAGAATGAACAATGAAAGATTGTCCGAGCAGACCTATTACAAGCCAAATGGAAAGAGAGATGTAGAAAGATCAAGAAAGAGATGCCCCTTACTAGTAAACTTGACTTTCCCAGAACAGTAAATTGGTCTAATTCTTGCTGCCTCTGATAATAATGTAAATGATAATGATGACCTTTTAAACATAATACAGTTGTCTGGCTCTAATGTCTTCAGTCATTGAATGTTCCATGGAAAAATATCAATATAAATACTTTTTTTAACATTCATGTTTCATTATAAAATTTGGTTTAATTATGGAAGACACTTTTTTTAAAGAATTCTTCCAGAATACTCTAGAAGGATCCAGCTAAAATTGTCCCAATCGATTTGTCTTGTCAAAAGCAATAATGAGCTATTAATTGAATGATCACACCTGTAGACATTGTTAATTTCATCAAAATGTGTTTTAGGTGTTTAAAACCCCCCAAAAACATTTTTCTAGAACACTCTTAGAACATACTGCAAAGGTCTTACGAAAATGGTCTGCTCCTCACTAATAGACTGAATTACGTCCAATAACACCCCACTTTCCCCAAATGGTGGACTGGAAGAGGTCTAATTGTGAGTAACAAATGAACAAAACACTGACACATACAGGTTATCTGATTACTATAGGTGGATTTAATTCTGCGTTTGAGTTTCTACATTTCCATATCTATTAATCATTTGAGTATTATAAATATTTCATATTTTCACATTTTGTGTTAAAAGTATTTCTTTAATGCGAAAAATTTTTAAAGGTGCAAAGTATTCAACTTTATTTACTGAATTTATTTCACTTTTATCCTTAGCTCTATTAAGTTATTTCCATGTTAATGATAAACTTCTGTACACGTCCTTAGCATGTGAATATTGTAGTTATTTAAGACTGAATTGTGAGATTTTCACTGTAGTGATCATATCCAGATTAATCATAATATTCTTTAGAAACGTATGAACATATTTATGGACAGTGACTGACATTGGTCTTCCTTCTGTAGGCAAAAGTTCACTATGTGAGTAGTTTCATTGCAAACTTTTCAGTCCAAAAGTCTTCCAAAAGCATTCTTTGAAGATTGAGGTAAAACTTCTTGAACTTCTTCCCTGAATTCAGCCGATTTCCTTATTACACTGAGGCAAATAATGATTATTCTTCCGACTAAGAAAAATGCTTGATTTTGTACTTTTTAAATGTCCACATGATGTTCAGTTGTAAAAGATAAAAACAGCCCAGAAAAACAATGAAAATGTAATGTTTTTAATCTGTGAAGTAATCAGAAATTTTGTGTACAAAAAGCATTACTTTGTATCTTCTAAGTACAGTTCTATCTTTGCAAAGATGTGTTAGAATAAGTTCAATTTTTAAAACGTTTGTTTTGAAAGAAAAAAAAAGAATTATTGGTTAGGATTATAAACAGTATGGAACATTAACTCTTGATTGTTCATTAGTAAATATCTAACAATTTTGCATCACTCATACAGTGCAATTTTGTACTCTATATTTGCCACTTTATTTTTCTTTATAAATCTTCAGAGAGGAAGATGTTTGGATTAAAATTTTTGTGTAATTTGATGCGCAAAAATTAGTAACACAGTATTATATTATTATTATTATTATTATTATTATTATTATTATTATTATTATTATCATTACTATTATTATTACTATTATTATTACTATTATTATTATTATTATTATTATTATTATTATTATTATTATTATTATTATTATTACAGACCGGTCAAGTACCTTTTAATACAATTGTTTTTACAGAGTAAGATTATATAGTTGTTAATAATAATTAAACATTTCAAAGCATTGGTGAGTAGAAGTCAAGTCTTTTAATGATTTGCTTGTTGCAAATGCTGTGTTCTGAAGTTTTATATAGATCATTAAAAGAAAACCAAAAAAGTAAAAAGTCTGAAAAACTGGGAGATCAATTTGATCTCAGCCTAATTTTAAAGTTTTGATAGCATTATAAATTATGAGTATTTTCTTGTTGAACTTTGACAGTCAGATTTTTGTGGTAGTGTTCAAAACTCTTCACACAGCATGAAACTTATCTTTGTCACTGTGCAATTTAATGTAGCTATCTGAGAAAAGACATTGGTCAAAACAGCATTATTGGTTTTGGAAACTTGCATTAGTACATTAATTTACTGTTGTTATATTAATTCAGTTGTAGTGGCAGCTTGTAGCAAAAACTAAGAATTTTTCTTAATTAATAACTCTCAATATGAAGTACTGAAAATCATTGTGCAGTAATGCTGTATTACAAAGTATGTTAACATTTGCTTATAGAGCAATGAATAATGATGTTGATAAGAGAAATATTTTTGAGTTTCTATTTTTAATGAATAAGCTAGAAATGAAGTACATTTTTTATCTGTGATGGTCTACTATTAAATGTATGTAGGTTTGTACATATGTTTTATTGTTGAACTACTTCATTTATTTTATGCTTTCATGTTTACCTAAGTTTTTGATTTATTTATGTGTAGCCTACTACTTATTATGTATTTTGATATTATATGTTAATGAGAAAAAGAAGCATGAGGAATGAAAAATAGCCAACTAGAACAAATATTAGAAGTTTTGCTTGTCTGTAATCCTAATTTGGGGTTGTTTTGTTTTTTATCCATTACTTTAACCAAAGTCACTATAGCTTTTGCTTTTGGTGTGTTGGTAAATGTTTATTAAGCATTTTGATTTATGTAAATTTTGGTTATTACTGTAATGAAATTATTATCATATTAATGTATGCATGACTGGTATTGTTTGTCTTTATTATGTATATGTACAAAACATGCAGCACATTTGATGATTCGTATAATGGTATTTGAATGTATATTTGCAACTTAATGCAGAGTTGTCCATTTACCAAAACTAAATTTCAGTTGCTTCAGCAAATATTTTTGGTTTCTTGTTTATTTAGTGAGGTTTCAAATTGTTCATTTCAATCATACCATATGCTCTCAGGATGAAAAGATTTTATCATAATGAACAATCCTTTTCTGAAGCTAGTGCCATTCCAAAGCCGCCTTTTTTTAGCAGTTCCTGATATTTATTTTCATGTCTATGATAATTTGATTAACTTGAAGTTATAGAATAGTTTTAATTACTCGTAACTCATGAGTGTGTTACCATGAAGTGGAACCATGAAGGAGAGTTGAAAGTTCCTTAAATTCAACGGTGCTACTATGTCTGATTTTAAAATTTCAAATGGATGCATTTCCATTTGAAAATATTAATATGTTTTTCCCCTTTCAAGTGCCCTCGCACCACATGTGTCCCCTAAAGTGATGTCTTGATAAAAAGAGTTTGTCCATTGTCCCAAAATAATAATATCCTGCTGGGAAATGTCAGGAGACAAAAGTTTTCTAAAAATTGGATTGTATTATTAGTAATTTCACATTCTTGGAAAAGAATGTAGCTTTCAGGATCAAGAAATTAACAGATCACTGCAATACCAGTATTCTTAAAATGTTTTAATTCTTAATGACCAGCTGGATGGAATAAAGATGTGACAATTGGGATAACAATGGATATGGGATAAGTATAACTTTCAAAATAAGATAAATAAACCAAGTTATAAAAAAATAAATGTAAAAATAATGAAAACAATAAATGTTTATCAAAATAAATTGTTCATAATTTAATATTTTTTTAAAATATTCAAGCTCAGTTAACTACATACAATACTCATTCTGGTTAATTTTTATATCACAACTTTTGACAAACTTTTCTGTCTTTCAGATGCCACTCAAATATAACCCGCACCCTAATTTCTGGCAAGGAATTTTGTAAAAAAAAATTCACTCTTATTGCAAAACTTACTATACCAGAACGACCTGCCGATTGAAGTGTAATATCTGTTAGAGTGCGCCTTCATGTCAGGCATGTCGCGCCTTGGTCGTGCCACTAATGTCACATCATGCGACATTATAAAACCGGGGCACGCCGTGAGATAATCCATCAAGAGGGGCCCTGACGCGACATGTTATAAAAATCGAAATATAACCCACGTCGTCATGTGACCAAGTGTAACACGCTTTAAGTTCACGGTACCAACATAGACTCGAATATCACCACAATTTTCGAGATAGTAGAGTTCAAATGAGTAGGGAAGGACAAATTTTTAAGAATGTCCCAAAATATTCTATTTCATTGCTATTGATTATTCTATTCAATCTATATTCATTCAATAGCAAATAAATATTCTATTGATTTGCTATTGCAATCTCAAACTGTCGATTGAATGAAATCCTTTAAATGCCTGTCTTTTGAAGTGAATAAAAAGTAAATATTTTATACTTGGCAGCTAGCTACATTTAAATGGTGCATGTTTTGTTAGATTACGACTAAATTCAGTGAATGTTAATATATACTTCCACTTAATATAGTCAGTTGACTAAGAGAATCTCGAGTCGTTGGAGTCAGTTGGAGCATGTTTCTTGTTATCTTGCTACTGAATGTAATGGACATTCAATGAGTACCTCAAAAAATTATACACTAATGGTGGTCTGACCTGCTCACACAGAGTTGTCACTTTAGCACCATGATGGTGCCATGAAATACAGCTCTTAAAATAATTGATATACTGAGGGAGATCTTTGCTCTTCGGATCCAATGATTCACATTTTTGTCCATACGTTTACGATGCTCTTACATATGGGTGCGTATTTTGGTGGATATTCTGTTCCTCGTCAACAGATGGACATTCTGAATTATTACGTTATTCTGTTGTAATCTCATATTTGAGATTTCTGAAGAATATATTCAGAACCACTCGTTTTTAGATATCTAATAGAATTAATATGACTTGCAATGATTCCGGCGCGATGAAGAAGAAAGTGCTTGCATCAGCAGGCTGAATCAAATAGTAAAGGTCTTACAGCAGATAGTTGATTCTGTGCTTCAATTACACTACCTCTTGTCTCCCTTGTGTGACTACATGAAATGAAAGCTGCTTATTCATATCGGGTTCTGGAAGAATATAATTCCAAGGAGATGCAATGTTTTTAGAATCCCTTAGAGAGTGAATATTATGCAGTATCATATATTTTCTCTTGACATTTTACAAATTTTCCATC